TTCCTGCCTCCCTTTGTGTGCAGCTCTTCTTCTTGTTTCTCCCCTGAATCTTTCTCAGTCCTCTTCTGTTTCTTCCTCACCAACTGATGTTTCATTGCTTTTTCCCAAATGCTTCTCTGTTCATACTTGAGTTGAATTTGGGCTCTTAGAACATAGCATTTAAATGCTGGGAGTGCTTCCCTTTGCTTCTCAAACTGAATGTGATACAGGTATCACGTATAAGGTAAATCACTTGTTGTATTTATGGAGATTTCAGGGTTGAATGCTCACTGAGATCATGTGCATTCTGCCTTTTCCAAGCTGGGACAACTTCATAAACTTGTGTTAAGCTTCCATTGTTCAGATGGGTAAGGATATCTTTTAGTGATTGGTAATTTTTATTCAACGTGGTCTGTATGTTAGAACTTGTCAATGTTAGGAAGCATTGGGTTATGTTGGGAAGCAAACGGTTATCGGCTGAGACCTGCTACCTTCTATCCAGATTACTCAGATCCTGCAGCTTCTTGTGATTTTGGTCCATCTCTTTCCAGGACACCGTGATACAATCTATAGAGGCATGGGTCAGCAGCCTGCTGCAGTAGTGTGAGCTGACTGCAGTAGTAATGTTTTAGACATTTGATGAACACGTTTAGGATATAATATGCTGGTGCATGTATTTTCTGAATTGGCGTGAGCTATAAAAAGTACCTGAAAATTTACATTGTTTCAAGTAACACTTTGTGTCTTCCACATACCATTGAATTTTTAATCATGTATTTATACAGTTGCTATTTCTTACTGTATTTCTCTGAGCGACGAGTTGGATGCTATGGATACTGACAGGTTCTTGATAGATGTATCTTGGATGGAACTGTACAGGATGCGTTAAGAGTTCTTTATCTGTACTGCAAGTGTCACTAAACTCTGCTGACTTATTAACCGAGCTGGAGGCAAATGTCATTTCTTCTATTCTGGGACAGTGACCTTGGTTTGTGAATCTTATCCAGATGTAGCTTTGAGCAAGAGGGATAGAAATCTCACAGTTGTAGGGCATGAAGGAGAACAATAAACCACAGTGGATAAAAAACTTTAAAAAACACTATAAATAAAACTGCTTAGAGATGTGGAATTACGTCCGAGATGGGTCGATGAATGAAGCATGGATGGATCTCAGTTGTGCGATAAGGGGTGATGGAGCGCACGCATTGAAATAATATCTTTTGGTGTGGCCTACCCTTTTTGGCATGGAAAGCGAATTGTCTTATGTCCCGGAGGAGTGCTATTGTTTGCCGTTCAAGTTCCATCATGTGACAGACCAATTTATTTGTGCATTGGTCGATACGACATTTACTAGGCATGTGCATACTGACTGGGCAGGGCAATGTGTTCATACAATACATGCAGAATGGAAGATTTGATTGAGGAAGGTGGGGGACAGGGATGGGCTGCCTCTGCCAGGTCTAATTTTATTTAGAGGGACTCAGGAGCGGCATTAGGAAAAGAGCCACCAGAAATAAGCTGCTTACCAGGTGGCTTGATATGATGGGCCATATGTTCTATCAACACCCATCTTTCATATTGTCATTGTGACTCCTTCAGAAATGGATGTTTTTGAGGCAGAGCTGATCAGGCTTTAGAGTTATGACACTTTTCTATGTTGAAAATCTTTCTTTAGTAGATTTCAGATCTTCCATTAATGCTGATTTTTGAATATTTGAATAGAATGGTAACTGTCTCTAAGGGCAAGGGATAAGATAATTGAAGTGATACTTTTCAAATTCTGTAAAAACTGTCTAAAAATGGTTTGTCTGAGGGATCTGTGGTTTCTCTAATACATAGACAAGTTTTTCTGGTGTGTGGTATAATGTTAGGGTTTTCTTGGTATATGTGTCATGGCATGAATAATTTACCTTTTTGTCTCTCTGACCTACCAAATTTGTCCTGACAACACCTTCTGACCATCCCGTTACGTAGCTCAAGTTTTTCCTGTGTCCTTGTAACGTGCCACATTTATAGGTACATATGAAAGTAATATAGACCTATGCAAAATGTATTAGATTCTTCAGTTTGTCTTTTGAATTTGTATTGTCAGGTGCTGCTTAGGTTTAGGAAGGGGCTGAGATCATGTTCAATAAAAACTGATGGAACCGAGACTTTTCCTGTAGTGTACTAAAGAACAAAAAGTGAGTGCACTGAAGCAAGCACTATACTGTGTGCACAGGCACTTTAGTCTCATCTTACTGTTCCAGAATTATGTACTGGAAGCAAAAACATTATATTGACAAAACTTTCTTAATTGTAAATTGTTTTGGTTACAGAGATGAGTGTCTGCCTTTTCAGCAGCAGAAGCGTAGTTCCCAAGTACAGTGTGTCTACCTGCTGTTGTATTGCCATGTTGAGTAAGAATGCTGCAGCTCCAGTCTCAAGATGTGTCCCTTTTTGCTGAGATGGTGCTACCTACAATTTGATATTGCCCCCTTTGAAATTAGAGCTCGGTGTCAAAGCAATGTAAACGGTCACAATGTGAACTGTGCTTGAAATGGAGTAGGTCGTTAGGTTTTAGCTTCTCCTAATCTTCCTAAATTTCCCAGTTTACACTTCTTTTTCCTCTTCATTTTGTCATGTGTTTCTGAAGCTAAAAAGGCAGCCCTTCAAACACAGTGTCAGTTCTCAAATAACACTACCTCAAACCTGTGGTAACATCTGAGTAATACAGCCCTCTAGTCCTGTCATTATAGTTCCAGGTCATGTATCAGAGTTTGTGTTTTGGTGATAACTGGTTTAAAAGTCTTTTCCAGATTTGATTTTGTTCTGTGTAAAGTGAGAGGAAGGGAAAAGCTGAATTATAATCTGGAATGGTGGCCTTAAAAAGGGAACATGGGTTTTGTTCTATTAGAATAGAAGGTAACGTTGGAAAGATAGAAATGCTCTTTGGTTTGGTACTTGCATGCATATTATTTACATACAGTGTAACCGGGTGTCTTCATTGAATAATTCATACCTGTTAAGCATTTAGCTGCTGTTAGGAAAACAATCAGCTGGACTCTGGAAATGTTGTTCATGATTCATGAACAGGTAGTCTTGGGAACCAAGCGTGGTGACAGCTCATGGCCCTTGTTCCTTGCGGGACAAGGGCTCAGTCCCTATTGCTTGCTAACAGTACCTTGTGCAGGAGTAACGTGGTAATGTTTACTTCAGAGGATTCACATGGTAGTGGCTTGTGAAAACGTAGAAGAGGTCCTTTCTCTTCATAGAACAAATCCTATGTTTTGCAATGTGAAAATGTGTATTCGGTCTGGTTGGGATGGAGCTAATATTATTTGTGGCGGCCTGTATGGTGTTATGTTTTGGATTTGCAATTAAAACAGTGTTGATGACAACCAGTGTTTTGGCTATTGCAAATCTGTGATTTCACAGTGTGGAGGCACTCTCTTTTGGCTTTTTCGTTGTGTTGGTTGGTTGTGTTGGTTGGTTGTGTTGGTTCAGGGTTTATTCCTCCACTCTGGCCCCATCTGTGCAAGATGCTGGGAGGAGGCACAGCCAGGATAGCTAACTCGGACTGACCAAAGGCATATTCTATACCTTACATTGTTATGCACAACAATAAAAGCTCAGAGAGGGAGGAAGCAGCTGAGACGTTCATGGTTGGTTATAGTGTTTGTCTTCACAAGTAACCATTAGCTGTGCCGAGGCCTTGCTACCCATGAAGTGGCCGAACATCTGCCTGTCAATAGAAAATAAATAGTGAATAAATTCCTTATTTTGCTTTGCTTGCACAAGCAACTTTGCTTTACTTATTAAACTGTCTTTTCTCATCCCACGATTTTTTCTATCTTCTGATTGTCTCCTCTATCCTATGGGGACTGAGTCTGCGCTCACCTCATGGGTGCTTAGTTACTGGCTGGGGTCAGTGCACAGCAAAATGCTACATCAAAGGAAGGTGTTACTGGACGTTGCTGCAGTGAATTCTTTTCATGTTTCACAGCACGATTGAGGTTGGGAGTGACCTTTGGAAATCATCTTGTCTGAGCCTCTCTGCTCAAGCAGTCAACTATAGCCTGTTGCCTAGGACTGTATCCAGACAGTGTTTGAGTATTTGCAAGGATGGAAACTTCATAATGTCTCTGGGCAACCTGTGCCAGTGATCAGTCACCCTCACAATAAAAGAGTTGTTCCTGATGTTCAGGGGGGACCTCCTGTGTTTCAGCTTGTGCCCATTGCTTCTGGTCCTGTTCCCATAAAAGGTCACCTTTTCTGTCTGTTTACCCTTATTTGGAGAACTGGAATGCTTGGAACTGAAAGTAAAAAAGTATCCTCAGTCTTTTTAATTCATAGAGGAAAAAGTGTAGCAAAAGCTGGAGATGATCTAGCACCCACCCACTGACAGTATCTGCATCCTTACTGCTTTAAGAGGCTAAGCCATATTGTGCTGGAGGGAAGCAAAGTGTTATTTTTGGTTCAGCTTTTTAGCTCTTCCTGAAATGGAGAAGTGAACCTCCCAAAATTAATGCATGGATTTTGTTTCATGGTTTTCTGAAATGTGATTGTTTGGGATTTCCACACCCCCCCCCCCCCCCCCCCCCCTTGCATTTTAGAACCAACGTCTGAGGAGGACTTGGTGCCTTAGTGTATCTCATTACAAAGAATAGCATTAATAAAGTAAATGAGCTTGTTTGCTTAAAATTCTGCACAGTTTAAGTGCTTTATGGCATTGAGTCTGCTTTTTCTTTGATGAAAATGCAGCTGAAAACTATTTTATTGATATTCTCTGTTTTTTTTTTGCCAGTAATAACTACAAATATAAATATGCCTACAATACAAAAAGCAGAAATCTAATAGAAACGAATGCACTCTGCAATTTGTGCACTGGAAAGTGAAAACTGAGGACCAAGTCTTGCAGCACAAGTGGAAGGGAACAGATCTGTCTGACCAGTTATACTATTTATAGCTATGCAAGTAAAATAAAAATTAATCTCTTGTTACTGGGGTCTTAAATTGCACCTATGAAGTGGTGTAAGTGCTACTGTGTAATTGGGCTTTTAACGCCTTCCTCACAATATGAATTAACCAAGGTTAAGTTGGCGGAGCTCACAGTTGCAGGGTGTCCTAACCATCCAGTTTTGATGTTTTGTTCCTTTTTGATATGTGTATGTGTGAAGTACAGGACTCTCACATACTGCTTTACTAGACTTGTGTTTGGAGTCATCAAAAGCCTGAGATACACTCAGAAACTGACTGCAGCCTCCACCCTTGCAGCAACCTCAGAATGCCACTGCATGGTGGTGTTCTGCAGCTCACCAGACAGTTGAGGCCCAAATGTAACCTTACTGCACAAGCACTTTAGTAATTTCATCTAAAGTCTCTTGCAGAGAAAGAAATGTCTGTATCTAAGGTGTGCAAGGTCTGTATCCAAGCCAGATGATGACAGTCATCACACAAAATGACTAACAAAGTGATGTTTGGCTTGATTGTACCATGTTAGTTTCTTGCAGTATCATTGCAATATATCTCTTTCTCTGGATGTGAATCTAGACTAATGCAATAGTGAATCAGGATTGCTCATCTTAAAGAAGGTGAAAAAGAAATCTGTCTAATAGCAGTGGATAACTTCATTTTTGAACTTCTAAAAAAGAACATTTGATGGGTAATTTAAAAGATACCCTTTTAATTCTTTCTAAGAAATAAAGGAACTGGTTTTGGCCTGTCCCAGTCTTGGCCTCTCAATTTAGTCTGAAGGTGATGCTTGGAGGATGAATAACTAATTTATAGTGGGTTTACTTAAGAATGTGCCTAGAAAAGCTGTTTACCTATCTTCAACCTCTTTCTTTGTGCAGGTTTCTCAGTTGCGGCATGAGCTCTCCATGAAAGATGAGCTGCTCCAGTTCTATACGAGTGCTGCTGAAGAAAGTGAGCCGGAGTCCATCTGTTCCACCCCGTAAGTTATCAGTCTACAACACTGAACCTTCATCTGGTACTCAGCAGGGGTAGTTTGGACTATTTGATAGCTTTAAAAGTAGTAAAATGATCCCTTTATTGGCTGGATCTATAAATGGAACTCTTGAACTTGGTGCACGGCACCAGCTGGAAGGATTTGCGTTGGACCAGCCGGCTGTAGTGATGCCAACAAGAGTCTGGAGGGGAAAGTACATCGAGAGGCTTCTTACGCAGCACTGTGACTTTAACAGGAACTAGGTCACTGTGGTGGTGAGGTTGACGTAGGTCCCACTTAGGGTACCCCACTACACCACATACCTTTGCATGCTGTACTAGAACATGCTACGTGTGTGACCTTTGTGCTTAAGGACCTGAGGGCACTGTGAAACGTTCTGTGCAGAGGGATGGAAATAAAGAGTGGCTTATAGTGTGGGTTCCAGGCAATTAGCTGGCTGAACAGCATCGCAGGCTCTGGGGGGCTATCTGCCCTTGCTTGCAGAGTTATTGCTGCATTCTGGTGAAGCATGTGCAAGATTAATCAGGAAGCTATTGGGTTGCTCCCTGTAGTAAGGTGGTTTCCTTTCTCATAGGTTTGGCTGAATAACTTTTTCATAGGAAATGTGGAGAATAATGAATAATAATAAAAAAAATGTTCTCTTTTAAAAATCACTGTAAATTCATTGCTGCCCAAACACACTGTCATGAACAAAGCTGGCTTTCTTGTGACTTTGGCTGGTTTTGAGACCTCTGTTCAGTCTGTTTTCCTGTGAGATTGGCCATAATACAGATGAAAATTAGTTAAAACTGTCGTTTTCGTTACAAGGCTGAAGAGGAATGAATCGTCCTCCTCCGTCCAGAACTACTTTCATTTGGATTCTCTTCAAAAGAAACTCAAGGACCTTGAAGAGGAGAACGTTGTGCTTAGATCTGAGGTGAAATTGCTCCCTTTGTCTTTTCCTTAATACAGTTGTTTATTTAAACAGCAGAGCACAGATATTGAGAAGAGTGTATTAAATGTTCAGAGAGTCTAATTAAGAGTATATAATTCCACATGTGACAGATCTCTTTGTGGTTGTTTAATCACCATCCTTTATCCGTTTGAATGAAGGAAAGGCTAAAACATGGAAGCTACATGAAGCTACATGCAAAGCAGTTTCCTTGCCAAAAGAATGCGCAGGAGCATGGGCAGGTTTTGGAGTCCAGAATTGCGCTTTGAAACAGATGTTAAAGGGCTGACCTGGTAGATGTGTGTGACTTTAGCTGCAGATCTGAAGTTTGTAGGCTGGCACGGTCTCTCTGGTACAAATTCAGTGGTTGTCAAAATAAAAACTGCTAGCCTGAAGTTGCATTAAATATTAAAATTTGTGTTTCAAGTCAGGCTGATAACATTTTAAGTTGAATGTGTTTTTCTTGCCTTTTATTTTTGACAATATTCCGTTTGTTTCACAGACAAGACAGTTTTTAAAAGTGTATTTACTGTTCCTTGTCTGTCAGAGATAACACTTCATAATTGAATATCATATGAATAATTTAATACTAATTTTCAATACAACTTTTAAGCTTTGGGAGCATGTTACCATTTTGCATACGTGTAGCTGAGTGTCGTGGGTTAGGCTGAACCTCCCCACACAGCCGGTCACTCCCCCTCCCCCACCCACAGGAATGAGAGAGAGAATTAAAGGATAAACGGGAAACCGTGGGTTGAGATAAGAACAATTTAATACAGATGATTTAATACACAGTGTAGGTGCTCACCACCCCCTCGTATGCGAAGCCCGTCTCCTCCCAAAGCTGCAATCCCGGATGAACGCGAGGCCCCGAAATAGAGAGGGGCAGAGAGAGAGAGCACTCCGAGAGTGGGAGTACTGGGAGAGAGAGAGAAAAAGAAAAAACAATAGAGCAACAGCGCAAAAGAGCAAAAGCGGCGAAAAAACCAAAGCGCAAAAGCCCTTCTTCCTGGCTGACCCTCACTTTTATACTGGGCATGACGTTGCGTGATATGGAATACTAATTGGCCAGTTTGGCCCTCAATCTTAAGTTCCACCACAAATCACAAAGGGAATCGTGTCCCCCTTGTCCCGGCTATGCTCCCCCCTTATCCCGCCGTATTTCTGCACTCCGGCACCCTGAAAAGTCCTTGGAGTCTCAAACATCAGCTTGCTATCAGCATTCTTCTCAGAGTGAGCCTCTGAGTAAAACCAAAACATGGAGCTCTTCTAGCTGTTAAAAACTCTGTCCCAGCTAAAACTAGGACACAGAGTATAGCAGAGGAAGTACTTTTGAGCTAAGAAGGAATGTAGGAAAACAGTATTATTGTCATTTTCTACTGCAACTGCAAGACCCATTGCAAATAGGTAGTGTCACCTCTTTGGAGAAAACAGTGCGTAATGGAGAGTGCTGTACGCTTCATTGAGAAATTGCGTGAGGAAGATGAGTGATTGATCGTTTGAGAATAACAAAGGTGGGGTTAGAACTGAGGGGGCCGCTGCATCAGGAGCTGATAGTAGGACCCCGCATACCACTGACTTCCCTTCCAGAGAGATGTAGTCTGTGCCAGCGAGGCACAGGATGGAGCCAAACCTGAAACCCTTGAGCTGCGTATCTCTCTACGGATGCAGTCTGTGGATGTCTGTGCATGCCCCCAGCATTGGGAATAGACTACAGACCCACCGAGGTGGTGCCAGACTGGTGTAGCCACACTCCTCTTGGCAGTCCCAGAATTGGAGCAGGAAGGACAAAGCAGGGAAGGAGGTAGCACTAAGGTTTTAAGTGGGATATATGGTTACAGTACCAGATCTTTTCTAATACTATCTGACTGTTTTTTCGATGCTTGAATGCTTAATTCAATTATTTAAACCAAGCACTTAATTAGTTTGTGATGATACCTAGCTTTGTTCAGGTGACCAGATCAAGCTCTGCAAATGTCTCTTGTGTGTTCAGCACTTCTTTTTATTTTAAGTGCAAAATATGTGAGTGACATCTAGTGGGGATGTGATGATAATGATGCAAGTTTCTCCATGCAGTAATGTCTCTGAATATTAACCTGGCCCCTTTTTCCAGAACACAAGGGAGGGCAGGCAAAAAACCTGTAGTTTCTCACTGTCTTCCTGGAGGAGTGATTAGAGAAGCTTGTCTTTCTGAAGCAGATGGAAATGCAGGAACAGACTGGCAAGGAACAAATGTGCTAATATAGCATATTTGATGTGGATTTCTTGAATAGGCCTGTCAGCTGAAGACTGAAACAATTACTTACGAAGAGAAAGAACAACAGCTTGTCAATGACTGTGTAAAAGAGCTAAGTATGTCCTTATTTCTTGTCCCTTCTTATTCGAGATTGTTCAGTTAAAAACCAGACAGCTGAGATCAGTCAGTCATGTTTTTCTGTGGTACTTATTTTCCCTATATATGTGGTTGTGAGGAGAAAATTTCTGACTGAAATTTCACAGCAGATGATTCTGACTGTAAGCTAAATCTTTCTCAGCTGCAAAATAGTTTTGCATAGAAAATGTTATTGTTAAGGAGAAGTACAGTCTCCTTCGCCACATAAGCACTTTGTGTCTTTCTGGTTTTGTGTCCTACTGCTGTTTTTGAAAAATACCTCACTGTGTATTGGGGAGGGATTCTGCTGAATCAGGTGATGTTCCGAAAGAACATCTTTCTGCTTACTTTTCTGCTTTTGGGTTTGTAATGTTAATTGTAATCACTTATCTTGAAGGGGATGCAAACATCCAGATTGCCAATATCTCCGAAGAGTTAGCAAAGAAAACTGAAGATGCAGCCCGGCAGCAGGAAGAAATCACCCATCTTCTCTCTCAAATAGTCGATCTGCAGAAAAAGGCAAAAGCTGTAAGGAATCCAGTTGCAAGACTACTGTTGTGATTTGCTACTGTTGTAGCTAGAAGACAAGTTACAATCCTCTGTACACCAGAGCCTTAAAGAAATTTTCCACCCTCCTTATCTGGGTGATGTTATTTGATGTTTAATATCCAGCATACTTGACTAGAAAGCATCAATTTATTAAAGGATGCGCAAACGATATATTCAATACATTTATTAAATTTATTTAAAATATTAGATGTGAAATTCTGCACTAAACTTCGTTACTTTGGTGAGACAAGAATGTCAGTACAAGTATTTCAGTGGGCACATACTCATTAGTTTTAGGATCTTGGAGGTTCATTTAGCAGGGCAAAGGCTGATGCTGGGTGGTCTTGTGTTAACATTTTAAAGTGTTGTTTAAATGCTTTTAAACTAACATGTGTGGACTAATACTGCTGCAGAGAGGGTCTTGAGAAAAGTTAGAATTTTCCTACTGACCTGTAGTGTAGGATACAAACATCATCACAGAACAAAACATCACAGTGTTTCTAACTTTTTTTGGCATTTTTTAGTGTGCAGTTGAAAATGAAGAACTTATCCAGCATTTGGGAGCAGCTAAAGATGCACAGAGACAGCTCACAGCAGAGGTAAGTACATTACTGAATATCACAATAATTTAGTAGTAAGACAATGGCTGTTCACTTTACCATGGGAGTTTTAGTCTAAGCTGGAGCAGAAGTATTAAGTAATTTTTCCAATGTACATGCAACGAAGGAACATTTATGTTCCTGGTAGAGTTCAAAATATTTTTTTTCCTGTTTTCTTCTCCTTCAACTGGCACACATTTTGAAAAACTGAGGCTTATGGCCTGTATAGGGAACCCCTTTAGAGGTTGACTTCTCTAGGCTGGTAGTTCAGCCTGTTTTGAATAGTGAGATAACATGGAAGAGCTCATTCGTATTGTATTTGTTCAGCAAATGAACAGAAGACAGGCCAGGATTGCTGGTTGTCTTCTGAGTGCTACATTCGCATGAACAAAATGGATGAAATAGAATGAATAAAACTTTATCCTCTTAACAATGTGTCTTGCATTTGGAATGCTTGGTGTTGAAGGTGGGAATGCCCATAGAAACTTTTCCTACTGATAAGCCTTTTGTGTCTTTGGTGCTCCACAAAGTTTGAGCTCAAGCTTCTCCATCCCTTTCTTGGGAAAGATACAAACAGGATCTCTGTTTCTAAGCTAAGTAGTTTATTTTTATGAAACTTGCAAGAATGTGGTATTTCAGATTTCAACTCCTTTGCCAAACTTGGTTGAAATTACTGGTGAACTCAAAAACTATGAGAGTACACAGACATCTGCAGACAGAATGATTGTATAAGATGTGTTTCCTCAGAAAGTCAAGCTAAAAATAAGGCATTGTCTTAGGCTGTTGGAGGTTATATGTATATATATGTATGTAAGTAAGTCTTGGTTTTAAAATTCCTGAGTCCTTTGGAACACTGTGAAATGTCTTGTCCTTTACCCATGCTGTTTGCCATTGTGGTCATCATGGCAGTAATTGGGCACTATACCTGATCAGATGAAAGATGCTTTTAACTCTGTATCTTCTTCTTGACAGTGGCTTCATGTAGATATGTGCGATAGGAAATGGAGCAAGCAGTTCCTCCCCACCCCCAGCCCTTCCTGTTACTAATTCATGTTGTTTATTATTTCTCAATTGTATCCACTCTTCGGAGTTCTTTTCATTTGAAGTGGGATATTTTATCCTTTACCAGATAATGCAGTTTGTAAGGTCTTGGACTCTTTTCTGTATGTTACAGTTGCGGGAGCTGGAAGACAAGTATGCAGAGTGCATGGAAATGCTTCATGAGGCTCAAGAAGAGCTGAAAAACCTTAGGAACAAGACTATGCCAAATGCCATATCACGTCGGTACCACTCTCTCGGTCTCTTCCCTATGGTAAGCAGATTTCAGGAAAAAACTGCACACACCAGAAAACAACCAACCAAAGAAAATGCGAGTGTTTGCATCTGACCTACAGCTTCAGGGAGGGATGCTCAGCTGGACATGAGCATGGGTGAAATGTGTATTTATATACTGTTAAAGGATATCTGAGTGATCAGTTCTGTACACCTGGTTCTGAAACAGAGATGCTGTGCAGTTACTTGTTTTACTGGAGTATTATGTACAACCTGCAGGTGGCTGTGCTTATGCTGTGACTCATGGATAGAATTAGTAAGTCATTACACAGTTCTATACATCTTTGTTACGTATCTCCTGTACTGTGGTGGCTGATTTTCAGTAGGAGCTTCCTGTTTTTCTTCAGTATCCTTGGAGCTGTAACTTCCGAAAATATAACTAGTTATTTCCAGACATGGCATCCTTCTAGTCAGTTATGATATATATTCTAGTTCTTCAGTACTTGAATAAGTTACACACGTATTCTTGGTTTAGGGTCACTGAAAACTCAGTGGTTCATTAAAAGAATATTTGTTGCTAATATGTATCATGGCAACATCAATTATGGTAGTGTCACTGGTGTTATCAACTTTGTTTACCTAGTTTCATTTGATTATGACACTGTACATATAAAGCATGGGGAATATGGAATACCCTCAAACAAATGAGAAAAAAAGAGCCTGGCTCTGCTTGCTTGTGTATCTCTAGAATAATTACATTACTTCTGAGGGCAATGATATCAGTGAAGTTTCTTTTGAGTTGCATTAATGTAATCAAGCAGCAGCAGCAGCAGGATCTGACCATCCTTGACTTTAGCCATGTCTTGTCTTAACTGCAGAGGAAGAACAGAGATTATATTTGTGCTCACAAGAAGTAGATTGTCAACAAAGTCTTAGCTTGCCTTTTTATGTTCCCTTCTGAGACTAAACACAGGCCGTTTTAAAGTGCAGACATTTAATAATGCTAGTTGTACTTGCACAAATACAGTTGAAAGCTGCAAAAAGTATGCTTGTGCTGAGATAGGTTTATGTGTTTTGTATAAAAATTATTTTCAAATGTTGAATCATGGTACCAAAGGTCATTTAGATTTCTAAATGTTTGACACTTAGACCTGCACTTAACTACATTTAGGCAGTAAAACTTACTGACCAGCAGTGAAAAATTCATAGTCTGTCACCTTTAATGCTGTAGGAGAAGTATAGAATACTTTATGCCAAGAACCATGTCTTTTTTGTTGGTGGGTAACATTGTGAAAGGGAGGAGTGTTTTCTGTTTATTTTAAATGAATACAAATTAAGCAATACTTCATGCATGATGAAAGGTGGGTGTTACTGAGTGGAGAGTTTATTCTGGGAAATTGGAGCACCTGAATTCTGTTGTTGCCTGTGATGTTTTTTTAGGATCTTTGACAGATATTATAGGTCTTCAGATGGTAAGTACTGCAGCAGTATGAAGCTAAGCCATTATTTTTCAGTGGTTTAGGTACATTCATTAATCTGTCAGCTTTCCGGACAATTTCATTTTTAAACCTTTTTTTTTTTTTTCTGGAATGACTCCTTATTAGTTATTAATTATTTTATATAAATAATTATTTTTTTTCTACAATGACAATGTATTAATACTATGATATTTCTTTTTCTTTTGTGCTTATTTTTAACAGGATTCTTTGGCAGCAGAAATAGAAGGGTCAATGAGGAAAGAACTGCATTTAGATGAACCCGACTCTCCTGACCTGGCGTACGATTGAAAAGAATCGGTTCCTAATTGATTGATTATATCTGAAGTTATTTACTAGTTGATGAGAAAGGAAAAGACAGGAAATAGTTGAGCTAGGGATTTAGAAATATTTCTGGCAGAGTGTGAATGATAGAGAGAAAGGAAAATGAATTGTCTGGTTATTGGGGTGGTTATATTTTCTGCTAAAGCTAGCAAAAGGAAATGCCTATATTTAGGTTTTGCATTGTCTTATGAACTTCTTGTCCTCCTTCTTGAATGCTGAGAATAAGAAAAGGTTTGTTTTCATAGAATGGTTTCATAGAATGGTTAGGATTGGAAGGGACCTTAAAGATCATCTAGTTCCAACCCCCCTGCCATGGGCAGAGAAATCCTCCACTACACCAGGTTGCCCAAAGCCTCATCTAACCTG